TAAATGTATTTTCAGGCTGGGATAAACATTCTTATGGTTATCATGGTGATGATGGTCATTCATTTTGCTCAAGTGGCACAGGTCAACCRTATGGACCTACATTTACCACTGGCGATATTATCGGTTGTGGAGTAGATCTTGTGCACAACCATTGTTTTTATACTAAAAATGGAACCCATTTAGGAACAGCATTTACTGACCTTCCTGTAAGTAATCACTTTTAACTATTTTTTATTTTTTGATAAATGTAGACAAACTTATAACTTATAATGAATCTTTAATTACATTTTTTAATCTTAGATTTAAAAAGAAACATTTTTATGAATTTCTATCTAAGATAATTTGAACATTGCCGTAATTTTTACGTTTTTAGTCAAAATTTAAACTATGCTTATAAAAAAAAATTGTAACCATGTATTTTTAATATTTTTCAACTGCTATTGAAACAATATTTTGGAAGCCTTATATTAAATTTTRAAACTTTTTGGCCCAACCAATACAATTTTATTGACATTAAAAGAAAAAAAAACTAAAAAAGTTGAAAAATTAAAATGTCAGTAAACAGCTCAAAACTAATCAAAATATTTTGAACCCTATATAAACATTCAGTGAAAATATCATGTATCAATTGTTTTAAAGTTACATCAAAAACCGATATCGATTTTGGTCAAAAATTAATTGTACGTAAAAATTCCCATTTTTTTTCCTTAAGTTGTCGATTGTTTATCCCAATTATTAAGAAAAATATTAGGAATTTTTGACATTTGACCCCACAAAGTACCAACTAGATTCACTTTCTGATCGAACAAGGTACTGAAGTCAAAAATCAAAGCACTTTTACTGCTCGAAAACAAGATGACAAACACAAAAAAAAAATAAATACATTTTTGACATTATTGTTAAATCAATACATTCCTTGCTTCGCTCAGAATCTAAAATCAAAACATTATAGTGATTTACGTAGAAATCAATGTACCATTTGTTATTTTCTCTGACATATGTGCTACATAGCATATTTTTGTTCTGCAAAACTTATGTTGTCTTGTTGGTTTTAACATGAAAATGAATTGACCTTTTATCAAACTTAAGTTAACAACATTATTGGTGTTTGTAGTTTTGTACTTTGTTTTTTTTTAAATATTTCATCAAAATTTACATTCTTTCAGAGAGTTAAAAATAAATTATTTCTGATATCCTCTTAAGTTGTATTGTTAATGTTTTCATTTGTTTTCCAGCCTAATTTATTTCCAACGGTAGGATTACAAACACCTGGTGAGGTGGTTGATGCTAATTTTGGGCAGTTGCCATTTGTGTTCAAAATCGAGGAAATGATGAAAGAGCTCAGAAGCCAAACACAAATGACTATTCAAAATTATCCATTTTCTTATCCATATTCACAGTGCCAGACAAATTTTCATAAGTAAAATAAAATAGTTATAATTTAATAACTAGTTAGTAACAATAATAATTTTTGTTTTAGAATGGTTTCTACTTATTTAGTTCACCAAGGTTTCTGTGCAACAGCAGAAGCATTTATTTCTCAAACTGATCAATCATTTGAAGAAGAGATCGCTTCCATAAAAAATCGCCAAAGTAATTTTTAACTTCTTAAAAATAAAAATGAAAACTATTAAYTAATGTGCTAACAATTTATTTAGAAATATTAAAACTAGTATCAACTGGTCGAATGGGTGAAGCTATTGAAATGACCAACAAGCTTTATCCTGGGTTACTTGAATCGAATCGTAACCTTCTGTTTAAGCTCAAATGTCGTCAGTTTGTTGAAATGGTCAATGGTACAGATTCAGAGGTAACATCCCGCTCACATGATAATATTGAAATTCTCACAACAACTCGTCCTTCACCAAAGCGTACATTGCAGTCAAATAGAAGTCCAACATCTATACAAACCAATGGGTACAAATAAATTGAAAATAATTTTATAATAAAGATTTATATTGTTTATTTATTTTCAGAAATGTCAAATGTCAAAAACTATCAAATACTACTGAAGTGACTGAAATAAATTCAGTGAATTTGATATTAAATGGTTCTTCAGATGCAACTACAATTAAAACAATTAAAAATGGTACACCAAAAATTAATGACTACCAAATAGAAAAAATGGATTGCAATGAAGACAACCAAATGACTGAATATAATATTATGTCAACTGATAGTGTAAATGGACATCATCAAAATCATCTTTTAGATGGAGATTATAATTCAAATGGTTATCACAATGGACATAATTGTGATGAACTTAGTAATGGAACATCTAGAGTCAATAACAATGGAAATGAAGAATCAATGGGTATATTTAACAATTTTTCTTTTATAAAAAGATTAATGTATTAACTTATAGTTTTATTAAAATACAGATATTGATCAACCAGAATATCACCAAACTACCAAGAAAGTTTGTGGTGGCAGCAAGCCTGGTGTTGAAAAAATGTTAGAATTTGGTCGAGAATTATTCTTACTTAGTTTGCAATTACGACAAGAATTAGGAAGAAATGAAACGAATAAAAAAATGTTACAAGTATGTATTAAATATTGTAATAATTATTGTAGTACTATGTTGTATGATTAATATAATATATGTTATGTTTAATTAGGATGCATTTAGTTTATTAGCGTATTCTAATCCTTGGGATAGTCCTGTTGGTTGGCAACTGGAAGCTTCCCAAAGAGATAGTGTATGTGCAGCACTAAATTCTGCTATTTTAGGTAATTATAATTGTGTTCATTAATACTGTTGTTGAACATTTTTTGATAAAGAGTTA